AAACCGCACGGGGACAGGTGGAGTTCTGCCCGGGGTCTGCCTTTAGCGAAGCGGTGGAAGAAGACAGTCGACACCGGTAAGTGTCCAAGCTAACGCCTAGAACACCGAAAGGTGTCCTGAAGCAGTAGTCTAGCACTGCCGTGGAGGTTTGTTTAAGATCCAAGTAGGTACTGTAGTTTATCCGTAGTCCGTTTTGGTCAGCCAGTTGAAAGGGCAGATCGAAAAGTAATAGATTTGCCTAAAGAAATGGCAAAAATATCAGCAAGGAAAGCAAACTTACTTAACCCTTTCATTACCATTGTCGCATTTCCGCGACAGCGCCGATCCCGCATCACCATTGTCGCTATTTTGCGCCTAGAGAAAGTCCCTCAAAAACTGTCAAAGCTCCGCAACAAAATACCCCTTTGGACGAGTCTGGTATCACACAACACGTCAGTGATGTCATCAGGCTTCCCGTAGTTCCCAATCCACCGGTTATGCACAGTCCCTCGCTGACTTCACCACCATTGCAGGCAGTGCGTGCTGCAGCACGTGTATCTCCGTTTGTACACAAATGCACGTGTATCTCCGTTTGTACACAAATGCGCATGTATCTCCGTTTGTACATAAATCCCATAGCGGAGAAATCGTCTTGTCTTGACAAACCGAAATACGGTTTTTATCCTCATTTTCTGTTTTTACTTTTGGAAAAACTAAGCAAAGATATGTGTCAATGGAAAGGTAAATGTATTTTGAACATGTTTTCTGTACATAAAATTGTCCATTTCTGGCGTTTTTAGTTCGAAAAAAGGGGTGAAAATCCACATGCAATATCATGCTGTGATAGCATGAAAATTTACAGTAAGCAAGGGTTGTCTTATTCCCAGTAAGCGGTAGTGAAAGGGTTAAAACGAAGACTTTCGAAGGGAGAAGCGGCAGCCAAACGCGCCAGCGTCCTCTCGTCCTCCATACAACGTCAAGAGTTCTCAGAGTTGTGGCGAATGCGCAGAAAAACACGGCTCTCCGTGGCCGATGTTGCTGTTATCTCCGCAAGATTATATTAGTTGCATGGACACCGAGCTGGCTAAGAAGCGTAGTAATTATTCATCGTCTACAAATAATGGTAGCAAAAGAGCTATGGTCGCTGATACTCTGGGAATTTTGGAAGTACAGTCGTCACCTTAGCCAATGTTGCGTGCGCCTCGGACTAGTTTCTGATCAGTAAAATGTGACGATAATTCGCATATCTGTCATCAGTGCATATCAACGTTACACACTGTGCTGCGTATTAATATAACGTCAGCTAAATGTACTTTGAGCGAAAAACATGCTCCTTAATTCCCATGGCACCCCAACTTAACGAAAACACTAATAAGGTGGGACACGCTGAAAACGTGTTGATGGTTTTGTAAATATCATGGCTATGGCAAAGACAGCCTCATTCTCTTACAAAGCAGAGGGATACTGCCAGTGGCAGCTTGTGAACTGGCAACAGGGGAAGCTCAAATAATCCCTTTAAATTAATGATTGGTCATGACTTGTTTTCAATCATTCATTTAAATTACCATTAGAGAAACTCCGAAAACTCTCAACATTATCAGATGTGACCAGTTTTCAATTATAACACATACCGATTACGTCTCCGGACATCTCACGCTTTTCTTTACTCAGGGTTTGGAAGCAATGCATATGTTTCATGATGGTTTAAATGAAAAATGATCATTTGCAACGTCTTTATTGAATTCAATTGCTCCCAACCGCTCCATGAACATGGACTTCAATTCCGCGCGAGAATCTCTTACATACGCGTTGATTGAATAATTGCTGACTATACAGCAGAGGAACGTAAATACGCCACTTAAACTCACACTGAATGTGTGAGAGTTGACAGGTATACGTTATTAATGAAAACTGGCCTCACCTGATAATGTGGAGAGTTTTCGGAGTTTCTGTAGACCTTATGGTAATTTAAATGAGTGATTTAAAACAGGTCATGACCAGTCACTAATTTTAACCCTCTCCAGCTCAATTTATTATTTTGATATGAAAAATCTTTCATTCATGGAGAATAGTTCTCATACACTAAAATAACTAACAGAATTGGTCAGAATTAGATATCTCACATTTTGAAGGATTTTGAGGTTGTTGCATTTTATAGAGTAGTATATGGTTTATTATTATAGTTCATATATACAATATAGTTCATTATCATCTACAAGCATTACTTTTTCATTCTACACAACTATTTTTTCGATCTTAATAAAATATTTGTGATACTTACCTCAAAAATGCAGACCTACTCTCAACAAACTTTGGTGCATGGAAGCTTCCATTTTGCAATGAGATAGTGGTGACTTGTAGTGGCTGCAGGTGGAACCATTTCCCATGTGGTCTTTATATTTTATAATCAGTCATCAACTGATTTATTGTTTCAAATTTGCTACATGAGCCTGGAGAGGGTTAAGGGATTGTTTGAGCTTCCCCTGTTGCCAGCTCACGAGCCACCACTGGATACTGCGTCACCTAGTGTTGACAATGTTTATAGCTATGCAAATTTAAATTAAGGTCTACCAGTACAAGTCATCTAGAGCTTCTAAACCTAGTCCACTCAAGCGACATGAAATTATATTGATGGAATTCCGAAGTTTGAAGTATATCCAAATTTTACTGTATCATTATCCCGGTACTTCTGTTGTAGAGCTATCCCGTAACGCCGTCCCTTCAGAAGAAAACAAAGAATATGGGCTCTTCGTGCCGTTTGTATTTAAGCCTAGGGCATTTTTAGGCAGCAACTTTTTTAAAAATTTCTAATTCAGTGACGCATAAAGTACAAGAAGACGTCCGCAGTTTGCAATGCAGCTATCTTGTTGGGGTGAGTTGAACGTTTCAGTTTTTGAGAAATATATCACATTTACACGTGCATATATTTTATTGCCAATATTTTAATAAATCGTCACAAATAAACATCAAGTTTCAGCCAGAAAAGTAGAAATTTCACTGGACAGGCTAAGGGGTGAGCTTTCATCCAGCAAAATGATGAAGCTCTTATGTTTTATAGGGCCCCACATTTGCTTTTGAAACGGGCCCCCATATGCTTAAGGCCGCCACTGGTGATATTCTGCCATGCCTGGACTGCAGCAATCTTCAGCTCCTGCTTGTTTAGGGGACTTTTTGTCTTAGGTCTCTTCTTTATAAAATTCAATGTTCACTGGGATTCAGATCCAGTAATTGCCTCGGCAAACAGAACCAAAATAACAACAAAAAAAGTCTCTCTTTCCAAAAATTATGGTGCTCACTGTATGTTCCAACTTTCAAATTTGGAATGGAGAAGAGCATGTAGAGTATATTATTTTTTGACACACGCTTAAGTCTACACCCGCACACCCACTGTCTGTGCCTAGTAAATCAGACTGGGCTTTTTAGCCGGTTTTAATGATATGAATGATTCATTTTCCCAGGGATGTCAGAGGGCTATCAAATTAATTATTTGTGCTGCTTTTCGGTGACACCGTGAGCAGTGGCAGAAGTGAGGGTGGAAATGCCCCACCCTACCCCACCTCCCACCAGCCTCCAGTAACAAAGGGGGAGATCGGCACCCTCACACACAGCACTCTCACACCGCCATAGACATTCATCAGTGATGCTCTCACCTCGAACTTCAAACGGCATATCGGAGCGCCATTTGCATGCTAAACCGTGGCAGTTGAATGAGCTGAACACAGGGGGGGCAAGCCAACTTCAGAAACCTCCCTGCAGGTCTTTACACAAACCCCATGCTCTTTAGCAGGAATGACCTGCTCCTTCATTACCATCTCATACTTTGGCCTCATGCCCAAGGATCAGGACAGAGGGACTGGACAGTGACCCAAAGGTGGGCAAAGTAAGATCACTGCAGGCTCCAGTAAGGCACCTGAGGAAGGCACTAAACCCCACCTTGAGCCCCTTCTTTGTCCAATCAACTGATCTCCCAATATAAACGCATCAGGTAAATAACCTGTCAAGGTCAATGTCAAGCTTACTTTATTCATCTCCCTTGGGAGAAATTTGCCTGGGAACAGAGTGAGTCACTGCACAATAATACAAATAGTAAAAGCAATAAAAGAGTATCAAAAGACAAAAAAAAGTAACAGACAAAAAACAATGCAGTATAAAGACAAGTGAAACAAGTGACAGTTATTCAAGTGCAAGAAAGTTGTGTAAGAGCTTGTGGCCACATGACCTCAATGGCCTGGTAACCTACCGTTCTCCGCGCTCCTGGTGGGCGTCAGACCCTGTAAGGACAGGGAAGAGGGAGAGGGAGGTTATCATGGGCTGTGTTACCTCAGGCTCAGATTGGAGTTGAGAGGCTGAAGGAAGACCTCCTCACCTCGGGAGACTCTGCCTTTTTCTCCAGGCGGTCCGGAGAGCCGCTCCACTCCGTTGAGCTTCCTGACTCCGCAGCCTTCAGGCCCGGGAAGTCTTCTTTAGACAGAAGAGAGGGGCAGAGTTAGCAGCAGAAGGGTGCGTTTTTGTGGGACACTGGAGCTCAGATCAACCAGAGCTGAGGGAACATGAGCATCCCTTGTGTTAAAATCCCTTGTGCAGTATACGGATGACAAAATCCCCCATGGAGCTCCTCTCCGTACCTCACCTGACATGAATATGCAAGAAAGAATGACTAAATAAGGCATTAACACAAACCTGACCAAAACCACTATCTGGACATAATAACTTCAGTGCCTCTTACATGGACAGGGATCCAGAAAGGCAGCTATGATCTATACCGCTTCTTCCTCACTAAGGCCACGGGGGAGCTGAGGCCTATCCCAGCTGACTATGGTGAAAGGCTGGGACATGCCCTGGACAGCTCGCCAATCCATCGCAGGTTGCACACACCATTCACTCAGACACTCATGCCTATGGGTAATTTTGAACCTCCAATTAGCCTGATATGCATGTCTTTGGACTGTGGGAGGAAACCTGAGTACCCGGAGGAAATCCAAGCAAACACGGGCAAACGTGCCAACTCCACACAGAAGGGCCGCAGGCCGGATTTGAACCCAGGACCTTCTTGCTGTGAAGCGACAGTGCTAACCACTGCACCACCGTGCTACTGGATCCAGTAAGCCTCATGACATATCAACGAATTCTGAATTCTGCCATCCTCGCAATACTGGGCAAGTAACTTTTTCTAAAAAACCCAAAAAGAGTTTATATCCTCTCCTTCTATATCTTTGCTAATAAACCCACTTAAAATGAAAGCTTGTCAGAAAGCCTCTACTGACCCGATTTCATAATATAAAACCAAGAAGCATTTAGAATAGTTTGGCTTTGAAAAGGTTTATTCCTAGAATGCAGGAAGAACCAACGCATCTACAATGTTTACTTGACACAGAAGTTCAATCTGAATGCTCCACTTCCTCAAATGTTATCACTCCAATTTAGCAAGTGGTTCAACAACAGAGGCTGTTTTCTGCTGGTTGACCAAGGTCTGAGACCCTCCAACCAGGGTAGAGTGAAGACACCTGGCCATAATCTCCAAATTGGAGCCCTGTCAGAATCTACTGATACACAGAGGCTCAAAAAAAGCAAGTTACAAAACTCTGACTGGGTGCAACATATAGAATAATTTATTTTTACGGTTTATAGGTCACGGGGTTCATGGAATTTAAGTATAAACACTGCTTGATTTCCATCGGCAGAAGCACAATGCTCAAACACCTCGTAAGGTGAACCCACTCTCCCGCATACTCTGAGGGAAAAATTTTGGGCAACGCTCTCCGAAGCCCTCTCCATCTCAATCGCTTTGGCCTTCGACAGAATACGTGGTGATCTTATGCCACCTTCCAACCCCAGAGCTTTAGGCTTGAGGCAAAATGGTACTGAAGATGCTAGGGCTTATTCAGCCTTCACCCATTCACAAAACCCGCTGTCAAAACGTGTGTAACAGCTGTCACTCAAAGCACCAAGAGAACTCCTCCATCAGCTGCCAGACATCACCAGTTTCTCATGGGACTGACATCATCTCACCTCAGCGATGCGTATACTTCACAGTCTTCTATGGGGAGCAGCCATGTGCTGCTCCCAGTGCATAAATCAGCAAATGAGCAGCTAATGAGGGCCTGCTCACTAACAGCCTCAAACTGCTTAAAGAGCCTATTAGCATCCGCCATGGCACAGCTGCGCAGGCTGGCCTGGAGGTGGGAGCTGGGGTTTTCATTCCTACACGACAAACCTCCGCAGTCGCTTTACTTAAACCTGACAAGCACTGACCCTGTACCCAATTTTAAAAGTGTGGGAAGGTATAAGATTCTTCCCTAAGAATCACTGTTTACATACAGTATTTACCAACCTGACCATGAACAAAAGTGGTCCCACATGGAAAACCTGCGGATGTAAAGGGCTAAAAACAAACAAATTTCATCGGTTCAGATGTAACCGATGGAAATCATCACGCCATAAAACACAGTAACTACATGTTCCCAAGTCCCCCAATCTCTGTGGTCAAAAAACAATGCACTATTGACATAAATGACCACCCAGCTTACACTGTAACGCAGACAGGCCCTCACTCTGAAATGTAATGGAACTGGAAACTTATCATTGCCAGCAATGCACTTTTCACCCCGCTGCAGATATACTCTGCCAAGCATCATTAATGGAGGGTGCAACATAATCAAATCCCTCATCCAAAGAAAAGGCTGAACACAGCACAGATACAAAACTATGCTTGAGTGCAGTCTCAATTACCCGCGGATCTTCATCATTGCTTGAAAATTACGGTGCCGGAGGCTTGGTTCCAATGAAATCAACGATTGTTTCATCTTCTCTAATTCCATTATAACTGCATTACCCATGAACACCCACCCCCCCAACACTACAATCTGAAAAACATTTAAATTGTTAAATTAAGGGACTGGCAGCAATATAAACAGTATATTGAACATTCCAGAAATTGGAATGCATTGCCAAGTTGGGCATTGCTGATTATTGTTTCGCATAATTTCCAAAGAGCCAATATGTCAATGCAAGTTCAACTTTTCATTCTTGCACTTTAAATTACAAGGTGACAAACGGTTGTGGAAGTGCTTTACGTCAGTAGCATCTCTCAAAATGCAGACCCAAAACCTCGAACATTTAACATCCAACAGCTTGAATTACAGGAGTGCAAACTTTTAAACCAGGGAATTTCACTCACAGGAAATCAAAGGTGTAACCTAATTCTTGTATATAATTATATATTAACTCTTTCAATGGCTCATATTCACTTTTGAATTGGACAGATCTGAAAAAATTCCCTGCTCTGACTGGATCAACAAGGAACAACAAGCAAACCTGAATCAGTGGTTTGAAGAGCAGTTACTCGCGCCCTCTAGTGGCTAAAATTGACAAGTCAGACAGAGGAGGTCAGACAGAACGCACCTGTAGCCAGCCAGAATGACTCTGGGGTTCTCTCAGGTAGAGGGGGAGGAGAGTCTTCAGTCTCATCACAGTCTGAATCAGACAAACACCAGGTGTTACAGTCCAGGGAGCAACTGTGGCACCAAACCAGAGATGTGCTGATAAAATAGCAGTGAGTGTGCCCTCCAATCCCCATCACCAAGCACATGCAAGCCAATCAAACAGCCCAAATCAAGGCAATGGGTCCTATAAGCTGCCAAAGTCAAGGCAATGGGCCAATTAAAAAATACAAATCACAGCACCAGCCAATCAAGCAGCCAAAGTCAATGCATCAAGCCAATTAAGTTGCCCAAATGTCGCACAGATCCAATCAAGCAGCCCAAATCAAAGCACCAAGCCAAAGGGGTTCATTTCCCAACAGAGACCAATGAAATAGCAGTGGAAGAAGGAGAACAGTCCGTGTTTGATCAAAGCTTGTTGGCCAAGGCATTCCTACATCCCCCCCAGGCAGAATTATTCCTCATTCACACCCCATGAGTGCGCACACGCACACACACGCGCACACACACACAAACAAGGTGGCTGAATATAACACAGACCTGCAATCTATTCTAGTGGCTCCCACTTGAGTCATAACCAACATGAACCATGCCATGTCATTCAAATTCTCACTCTATCGTAACCGTTCCCTCTCAGCCTGTCCTCTTGCTTACCTTCCCAGACTGCTGACGACAGTCTCACTCCCTTATTCACACCTCCTGGGGATTTCCCTGACGCAACCAACCAGGGCTCAGGCACAATACTACTGATTCAAAATGACACACACATGCCCAAGCAGAGAGCATGTGCAAGCAGCACTCAGCCCAGCGCTCATCATCCCTAACAATGCGCTCAGGTCTGAAGGCAAGCAGGCACTGGCGCAGCTGGCCAATACCCTTTTGCATCATTGTGTTTCATGGGATTTTCCAAACTGCCAGTTACACAAAGGGCCAGAGAACGCTTTAGTGTAGCCTGACAGCAAAATGTAAAAATCTGCCGTTGAGTTCTCTTGGAATTACGAAGGGACCAATACCGATATTGGCAACGGAATTGAGCACCAATTAAGTACTTTCATACTCATACTCAAAAATGCTTTGTTTGGTAAACAGAACAATACCAATGTTTTCGATATCACTGCCTAATGCAACCGAGAGTGAGGAAACACTGACAAGTACAACTCGCGCGGGCAACCTTAGGGTTTTAACTAAGCTACTTCTTGCGCAAGATGAAGCCTACATTTTCAACCTTCAAAACCATCTCGCGTGTAAGAACAGTTTACTCCACCAAGAACGACGGGAAGTCATCAGCTTTCAGCATCCAATATTGATTTTTCGAGATTAATGCCAAAAAAGAACAATTCACATTTAATGCCGGATGGACTCATACATGTCGACTGGAGAGGAAAAGAGAGGGGAAGGTCCACCAAACGAGGTGAGTCGATGAAGTCTGTATGCTGACAAATGTTATTTGGCTCGCTGTACAGCAAGTTAACCAGCAAACGATCTATCAATATTAAACGCAGTTATTCTCTCGGTTATGAGGGTATTATCGGCATTCTAGTCCTACATGATTTTTGTTTTGTATTACATTATTTTAGGTAGGCCAACATTAAGGGTATATAGGCTACATATAGCAGTTAGCTCTGTTGACTGCTGGCTTCTTAGCTGGCTCACTGGTATCCTTTTAGGGCTCAACATTGAAGTCTTTCACTCAGGGTGAAGCTTGCGCCGACAGGTGTACCCAAGAGTGTAGGAACATGAGGGATTCTAGAAAACGACAACTGATTACTGAGTTTCACTCTGTTGAATACTTTCGACAGCAAGCCTTAGGGGGCCTTCCCAGGTATTCCACAATCAGCAAAGATAAAGCTACTGTTCTTCCACATTCAGAAAATTCAATTCACAGCCATTTTATTCTCAGGAGCAACACAAACGCAACACCAAAAGATGTGCTTTTAAACTTGTTACTTTTAGCTTGAATGATCAATGGAATAATACTAATGGAATAAGTTGTGACAAAATCTCTATTACTGAAAAAAGGGAAATGTGGGCTTAAACATGTCTTCGACTAAAGGGCTCAAATACTGAAGTCGGCCTACTCGTTCTGGAACTCCGTACCAACAAGTACCTGTAGGCGAGCACTCGTACTGGGTCTGAAAAAAAAATGGTATCGGTGCATCTCTGCTTGGAACCGGCTTCACTGGCTGTTATATAGGCTCCGTGGGGCTCTGAGGGATCCTAAAGACAACATAACTCAGGGTTTAAAAATTAAAGCTAACTTTATCCCTTAATAAACCTTTGTTTTTTTATACCCTTCTCAGAGTTGTTATTGACATTTTCTTCTTAAACAATAAAAATTAGAAAAAACAATGACATTAAGAAATAAGCACCAAACAAAACCTGTATTCTGTCCTTTGTCCTAAACTTCTTTTGCAAGGCTTTTGGATTTTCTCATATTTGTTCTCCTTCTAATATTTACAAATACGGAAGGTTACAAAAGACACCGCCTCCCCAGCAAGCCGACGGAAAGCCCCACATGCCGCAAACTTAAGCGAATCAGCAACCCCACCCCTCCCCTCCTCTCCCTCCACCACATTCACAATCAACCAGGACGTCGGAGTATTACGTTGCAACAGCATCCTGCAATACAAGCCATCTCTCTTTTGGCAATA